TTAAGTTAATAGATACTACTGTTTAACTATCTAGTAATGTTGTTAGAAAAGAACTATAAAAAATTATATGTTAAATAAGTAAGTAAATTCATTACCAAGCTTATTAGATAATCAACCATATCAACAAAATTTTGTTTGGCTGCTAAATGTAGACATGTTTCTTCATTTTTATTGGGACATTGAATGAGTTTACTTTGTTCTTCAAGTGAAATACTTCCAATGATTGCTTTTACACATTCTAAATCACCTCGTAGTGCGGCATAATGCAATACTGTTTGACCATTGTGATCTGTAGCTAGTACATCTGGATTATATTGAAGGCATATCTAGTTTATTCGATTGAAACAAGGCAAAAAAAAGTTATTTAGAAGATTGTATGCTGAAATGTTATTCTAAATAGATTTGCATAAGTTTAAAAATGGTCATTATTATAGGAGGAAATCAAGCAAAAAAGTTTTGAAAACCAGTCGATACTAAATAAACATTCCGTCTTCATTTTAAATTCCCTAGAAATACATATCCTTGATCTTAGAAAAGTGTAGGACTAGGATATATATCATATCTTTTAAAGTAAAAGAGTCACTAGTTCGTGATGTTTCTATACCTAGTGTTAGCTTGAGATGAAAATAGGGGGGAAAGTATTCAATGCTTTGTACTTAAGTAGGTAAAGTGTTGGAAAGCATTGTAAAATAATGATAATAATAATAATCATGCTTAGACAAAAGCTATACTACTTAATTATTAACAGTAACTAAACGTTCACCTTCACAGTATAAGACGTACACTAATCTTTTCCTTACGGTTTGAGAAGAAAGAGGTTTGCTGATTGTTTCCTTCATGGAATGATATCATTTGGTGTATTGTTAAGTTCTAGAGGGCACTAAAAGTTTGATACGTTCTAGTTAAGAACTTCTTATCAGCATGTACTCAAGATTGCATTACAGAGTAAATCTAGGACATCATCATGTCGAGTTGAGTTGTATTCTCTCTACAGGTTACAGAGAAGTCATCTTTTAACATAACAGAAATTCTACAGTATAGTATACTCGTATCTCGAAATTATACTTACGTTTAATAACTCAATCGATCCGGAATTAGCAGCCGTATGAATTGGTGCAAGACCTTCACCATCAAGTAAATTAATTAGTTGTTCTTTCTTAAACTGTTTCCTTATTGTTTGATTGAACTTCTGTCGTTTCATATCGAATTCATATGAATTGGTTATATTTCTGCTTTCTTTAGTAAGATCGTTTGAACTAATTGAATATTTACGATTGAATATTGAAATTGTTTTATAATTATCCATATTTGTACTTACAAAAGAATTAATATTTTGTTTAAAATGCGTAGATAATGTTGTTTCTGATTCATTATCTACTTGTATATCATATTGATTGTAATCTAAAAGAATTTTGATACATTGTAAACTTGACTGGGAGATTGCTTCATGAATTGGATATTTTCCTAAAGCATCAGGTTGGTAGATATTTCCACCAACTTGTATCTTTTTTATTGCCAGAAAAGAAAACACAAATTGACATTGTTTGTTTATGAATTTAATGACATTCAACAATAAATGAAGAATTACTGTAGTTTTTAAGTCAATGCATATATAAACTAAGCTACTAGGGTTTTTAAAGAAATTTGGGAACGATTAATCGGGTATACATGAGATATTCATGGTATTTTTTAAGGAAATAATGAATTGAGTAGCTATCTCCAAGTGGGCCAAGCATCTCATTGTCAATCTTACAAATTGGATGACCGGGATCGTTGTAGAACTCGTATAATAATAATGACAATATTCAAAGTATATTGTCTCTTGTTCATTCGTATCACTGATTTACTATCCAGATGAATGATGATGAATTGAACTTGGGAAAAATAGTCTGTGCACCTGTTTAAGAAAAACCTCATACCTGAAGATCGTTGTTCATGTTTTGAACAATGAAACTGGAGATTGTGGTATCGATAAAATAAAACTTACTGTTGGGGACGTTAGATCCCTAGAACTCGCTTGATAAATGCCTTATTTGGGATTTCAGGTTCGCGAACATGTGCTGATCATTTGATCTTGAGATTTCATTTACCACCAGGAAAATCCATGGCTGTGATTGACTGCCGTGTATTTTAGTGTGCTATTTTTGTGACTCCCAAGGACGTTTCTATGATGTTTAAATAAACGAGATTTGTATGCTTGACTGCATTGTGCTTGCTAAGTGTTTGTAGAATATACTTCTACGCTTGTCAAGACTTCTCTCTTGCAGTTTTGGGATCAAGGTAGCCTACCTGGACGCTGGTTCATTGTCTTGTTCTAGTTTATCGACTAAGGTAAGCATACCTAGTGATGAATTTAACACTTACATGACCTTAATTTGTAGACTTATTTAATAGGCTACACGAAAAATATGTTACTGACATTGATTTATAGCATTTTAATCAATTCGTTACTTTTATCTCTTGTTTGGCTCTTTTCAAATATTGTCAATGAGTGGAATCCAATCGTAGAGAATATTACGTATCTATTTATAAATCATATTTTAGGAGACTAAACACAGCTGAAGAAAGCTGAAGTCAAGTCAACTTATTTATTCTTGACTTCTGGATTTAGTTCTGACTATCAAAATGCATAGTTTTCAGGGAAAAATAAATAAAAACTCATGTATTTAATGTAAGTCATGAAGACTGTCTAAAGTATTTGATGTTATCAAGTATGGTGCTTTTGTTTATACTATTTTAGATTAAAAAATTCTACAGTTAGAGTTCTTTATGTTCTATGAATAACTTTTATTTAGACTGCATCATCAGCTCTGGTCGATTATCTGTCAGTAAAATTAATCCTATCGTAGTTAGTTATTCATTACATAATTGTATTCTGAGTGAGGATTTAAATTTAAGAATTAAATTTCTTGGTTTTAAACCTTTACATTTAATTCTTAACAAAACGAGGGAAAAAAATTAATTTCAGAGTATATGATAACTTAGATTACTGAGTCTTACCAACATTTGTAAACATGCAGCACTATCATTGAAACAACAATAATGAACTGGTGTTGCACCTTGTTCATCTGGAGTGTTGACATCTACTGCAATGTCAAGTAGGAGCTAAAATAGGCATGTAAGTACATATTATGAGAAAATTAAAATAATTTGTATATTTACTAAATGACATGATAATTATTCATTTGACATCATCAATCAATCATTGTTATACGACCATTAGAAACCTGGAAGCACTGGACGGCCGTCTTGTCCTGGTATGGGACTCATCAGCAGTGCGTATCCACGACTCCTGCACCTCGTGGATGCGCACTGCTGATGAGTCCCATACCAGGACGAAACGGCCGTCCAGTGCTTCCAGGTTTCTAATGGTGGTCTAAAAATGATTGATTGATGATTTCAAATGTGTAAAAAAAACACAAATCTCCAAAACTCTGACTGAAAATGATAATTATTGTCAATTATTTTTATTTCAACCATTGTTTAAATTATGCTTCATATTGTCAATACATATGGAAGGCAGATCGAATCATTCGGTATATTATTTTATAAATGAAAATAGTCTAACTGAAATTTAATATTTCTAATTGTTTTTCGATAAATAGAATTCTCTTCATTCTAAAGAACTTCATTCATATGAGCAGACATTCACTAACTGAGAATATGTCATTAATTACAGTTTGAACAGTATGCGCCACGTTTCTCTCAAGGCTACATCATTCTGTAACCGACCAGTGGATTGGTTATCAGACTGACATTGATCACTATTTTGAGTATCAGTTAATTTAAATAAAGCGTAAATTTTCACAAGATTGTATCATTTTGTTAGTTGACTGTAATTTACTTTCCTAAGTAAAAGTCATGAATCCTTTTGATTCTACTGTTTACCTTCATTTACATCTTTAATCAATTATTTTGATTCTTGTAATCCAAAATATTCTGTTACTGCACAAAAAAGAAGTTTCAGTTCTGTAATTTATATAATATTGAACCAGTTGAATAGTGAAACTTTCTCTTGATAGCTAGATGACTGAGGTTCGGAGATGAAGAACTAATCGTTCTGATTATTTCAATTATTCTGTTGTCTGATAAAAATGTAAGTCCCATCTCAATAATGTCTGGATCAATAGTTATGCGTGAAACATTGATAAAGTGATTTTTGTACATATTAATGTATACATTAAGTAACAATTAGTTTTACGTTACTTTCATTTTATGCTGTTAGAGTACAATGAATTATGTATCAAGTATTTTTTTTGTCTACTTACTTCTAATCCTTCTAGAAAATTCGCTTCACATGCTAAATGTATAGCTTGCGCGCCTAGTCGATTTTTCGCATCTAAATTAGCACCAAAATCAATTAATAGCTGAAGTATTTGTAAATGTCGCCTGATCACTGCGGAATGTAGAGGTTGATTTCCTGATTCATCGACGTAATTTGGATCTAAGTTAGAAATACAATTACGTAAGAACAGTGTTGTATCAGTTTCAGAAAGACAGAATCTTCTATTTATCAGTTATCTGTCTATTTTTATACAACTGAAATTAATATGATGGTCACTGTGGAAAGATATAGTCCAATAATGCATGATTAAACGTTTTCATCACAATTATTTTCGTTCAAATTTCGTTAAATGGTTAATTTTCTTTTGAATTATATTTGGTACCAATTGAGTGCAAGTGGTACTAGTGGAAATCCTAGACTAGACTAAATCAAATCTCTTTGGAATATGTCACTTTGTCCTGTTCGTAGTCTACGGATACTGTAAAAATGAATAGCTCTGTTCATTGTTTTGACAACACCAATGTTATGTGTGGTTGGGGATGGAATGTTGCAGTTAGTGGATATGGATTAGAGGCTCACTAATGCTGAAGTGTCTGTGAGTTGGCCTACAAGGTCACTGTCTTCAGATGCCTTAAGTTCCGGGCGCAAACATGTACGCTTTATGACTTCAAGGTAAAGCGTATGCCGAGGCAGTTTCAAGATGTTGATGAGCTGGGGTTTTCCTCTGTATGTTTCGCTTTTCCAATTGCACGGTAACGTGTTCACAATTGTTTCTACCATGCATATATATATATATATATATATGTTCTCTGGCTTAATGTTGGTGTAGATACGACTAGGGAGACCAGCTGTACGTTAAAACTAGGGTTCTTAAGGATCCTAATGAAAGGCATATAGCTATGGTTGTGGGTTTTTTGACGAGTTACATGGCAAATTGAGTGTAAATACCACGGATGATAACTCGAGCACAATAAAGTTAGAAAAATGGAGCAGATTTTTAGTTGAGGCTGGGTGAAGAGTATTTGGAGAACAGGAAAATCTTGATATTATCAGTAACGGACTTATTTTATACTATAATCTAAAGTCCCTTCTGATAATATTGTTTGTAAATAGTAGTCTTTGAATACATTTTAACTTTTAATATCTTGAGATACCAATCGATTATTTTATCAGGTTAATCTAGGGCCATGTGATTGGTTAGTCTTGTTCTTACATGTGACTGGGACAAATCATATTCAATGCCCATTGATCGTAAGGAGGATTGTCTGTAAATAAGCACATTGACTGGTTTGATAGTCGTAGAGTAATTTTAATATGTTTGCTTGAATTTTTACGAAAATTAACTGTTATCATAGTCTTTTTATGTCAAAAGAAATCAAACCAATATTTTATTTATTTATCATAGAATGAATACGACGTAGTATCCATTCCATGTAACGAGAATTATATGTAAAGAATAAGGAAATAAATAAATTTTTTTATCTACGAATATTATAGAAAACACTTCATAGCGTTCACCTTAGTCGGTAGACTAGAGCGAAGACAAATGATCCAGTGATACAATAGACTACTCTTATCCGAGCGTCCCAAAGCGCCAATAAGTAGTTTAATTACTCTAAGATGACGTTATTAGTAAGTTTTAATCAATACAATTCTGACCACGTTTTATCTTTGGTCATTTTAAAAGAGAATTAAGTTTCATTAATTTCTAATAAGCGAAAATGAGTAAATTCGAAGTAGGGTATTCATGGGATTAAATTGTGTGAATCTACAACACTCAAATAATCCAGTTCATCTCCATGTTATTCTTTTTATTCCTCTTATTTTTGTTAATATTAGTTGCAGTTGGAGTGCTGGTAAATTGTCATCATGTTAGCATATTCATCCAATATCCTAAGACAATTATTGGTCAATTCCTATTGGTTAATACCTACTGATCAATTTTATGGTCGCTCTAGATGTCAATGTCACGTGCTCCAATGTTGTTTCTTATTGGTTGTCCTGACTATCAATGTCACTTCAAATGTTGCTTCCTATCGGTCGTCTTAACTGTCAATGTCACAGAGTTCGATGCTGTTTCCTATTCAACCAAAATGTATAAATAAGCAGTATCTGTAACGTTTTATGACCAGGACCAGGACCCGCTCCAGGATCCCTAGTCTGGGATCCTGATTCTGTTCTGGACTCGGACCTCGTACTTTCTGGATGCTTATAGAATACAGGTTCTACTTCATATCAAGTCTTCTTATTTTTACTCAATATGGGAGTTGGGATAATCGGATTGAGTAGCATGTCGTGTCGCTGGATCCTCGATCCTCACTCTCGTATTCCGACTAAGGTAAACTCGTAACAGTTCAAGTATATCGAGTTGACGTGTTTACGTTCAGGCCTAACATATCATTAACAGGTTTTTCAAAAATAAAAATCTTTGAACATTATTCAGAATAAAATAACAAGTAAACTTGTATTCACTTGAATTAGTTAGCAGTTATTTAAACAGTATTATGTCATTGATTAAAACTAGTTTAATAAAATAGCAGAAAATGTACCAAACAACATTCACTTTACCTGCTCCATTATACAATAACCATTTTACTAAATCTATATGCCCATATTCCACTGCATAATGTAACAATCTATTAGCTACATTGTCGGATGCATCGAATGGAAGTGAATTGTTTTGAATTATGTCAATAATGGCTTCATGTTGAAGTATTGAATATGGGAGCTGGATAAAAAAAGGCGAAATGAAACATTCATGGGAAAGAAACAGTTTACAAGGAAGGTGAAAAATATATATTTCTTGAATATTGACGGTCGTGCTTAGTTTTTGCAAGAATTAATAACATTTAGAAAATAACTTTTTGACGCTCTCGAAAGAAGAATGTTGTGAGAATAAAGAAGTAGGTTTTCGAAATCAGAGGGATATGGAGACTATTGCATTCTATTGAAATTATGAATTAGCCAATGTTACATCACTATTTGAAATCTGCAAGCACAGGACGGGCGTATTATGCGGCTTGTTAGCAGTCAGTGGTGATGATTCCCGTATTAAGAAGAAGTGGCCGTGCAATGCCTACCGGTTTTTGGTGCTGGCCCGACATTGATCGATTCATGATTTCAATGAACTAGGCTTCTGCTATACTTGAAAAATAACTATTTCGGTCATCAGGTAGAAATCTTTCTTGTATGTTCAGTTCATAAAGGTAAAGGAACTTAATTTATCAGGTTGCATTGTAGTTACTGGTCAAAGTGATTTGAACATTGTTCACACTGTTTTGTATGCTCAGCGATCTCCGTCAACGAGGCCTGAATGTAAACGCCCATATACGAGCTTCACCTTTGCGTAACAGAGGTCCTCATACATAGACATTATCATCAAGATATTCAACATGAAAGTGCTATACAATAAAAGTAAAACGTTTCTGATATATTTCCTTATAAACGCATTGAAGCGCCTGTTTCAAAGATATCATTAAAACACATTTACTACATCAAGACATTTATTATTGACTATGTCTTAACAATTAGTTTGTTCATAAATGATGCACCTTACTACAGACAGATGTATCATTTATCGTTTTAATTCAATTCCTCTAAATTTTATGAAGCTTTTATGCAATCAGTTCATTTAAAATGTCAAAACAGAAATATCTTTACATTCTTATAGAGCAATAACTATCACTTGTCATTATTAATGTAGACAGATAAAGAAAGAATAAATTCATTTAGCCTAACTAATCAACAAAATATTTCTGATCTAATCAACACAATTATATGAATAAAAAAATGACAAAGGATGGAAATATTACACATTTGTCGTTAGTTATTAGGCAATCTATGTTTTTTCTCTTTCTTACATTATTCAAGGAAATTAAAACATAGACAACTAGATTTATCAGATGATAGACTTTAATGATGATTGTTTTCATTTTCTTCAAAATATCACTAACAGAAAATCAATTTCATTCCAAATTTGTTCATTATTAGGTCTGATAATAAATGAGAAAAATGTCAAGAGCTTACGTTTTCACACTTCACATTTGATTCATCAGTGATTTGTATATTTTATTCTTCAAATAGGCGAATAAAATTACAATATACAATAATTTTATATTCTGTTGGGGACATTAGATCCCCAGATCTCGCTTGATAAATGTTCTAATTTTGGTTTTGATTCATGGGCTGATCAGCTGACCTAGAGATCACGTTTCCAACCAGGAAAATCCTTGGCTGTGATTGGTTGAAGTGTTATTTTAGTACGCTATTATTGTGACTGTCTCAAGTACGTTTCTATGATGTATAAATAGACGTAATTTGTGTGCTTGAGTTCATTGTGCTTGTTGAGTGTTTGTAGAATACACTTTCCACGCTAAATCAAGACTTATTCGTTGGTTCCTTTGGGGAAACCAACCAGAGTAGCATAACGTGTCACTGGTTCATTGTCTCGTTCTAGTTTATTGACTAAGGTGAACCCGTAATAGTTTCAAGCATATCAAGTGATGAGCATAACATATTCATAAAAATGGAAATGATTATCATGTCAATGGAAGTCTCTCGTTCAAAATTTATGTAGATTATCATTGACTTAAGTTGAAGAAATAATATAACAAAAGTATCGTACACACATGGTGTTCAATATTCAATAATTTTAGACGAATATATAAACAAATTAATGAATATACGGTTCAATACAATTTAATTATCGAAAATAATAAACAGAAATAAAAAAAGTAATTTAAGAATGTCTTTCGAGTTGTTTTCAATAAAAAAACATTAAACTTCAGTAGTATATATGATAAATCAGATAAATTTGCAAAAAATATCAATCAGAATTCTGCTAACCTTGAACAATTCATTATCTTTTAAAAGTTTCAAATGGTGTATTACATTATTTTCAGGCGTTTGAATTCTCGAAGTATTCGAATTTATTAACTTAGTTATCTTTTCATCTGAATTCATTATAGTAATTGTTTCAAGCGGTGTAGAGTTTTGTTTTGAAGTGAAAGATGATTTGAATTTATTTAAAAAGTTGTAGAAATAATCTTGATATTTGTAAATTTTCAATTCATCCGGAATAATGCTTAGATAAGAATAGTTGGTTGCTTTTGGTTTCATATAATCAAACCGGTTGTTTTGATTTGATGAAATCGTCACTTGAATAAATGACCAGATTGAGCTAAAAAGTAGAAAAAATTGTGTGTAGTTTCAATTATAATGTGATCTTTACTTGCACATTTTCTTAAATTACAAAAAGTAACTTTCATTGTAAACTAATATTGGCTATTTCATATCGTTTCGGTAACTACTGTAACTACTGTAAACGGATATGTAACTTTGTATAAAATCAAACCTGACAAATTTCAAAGTTTGTAAATCATTAAATTCAAGTAGTTTACATGTTTATTTTTAACTTAAGTAACACACAAATATTTTCATTGTGTGAATGTTGTATCGGCTGTCGTGATTATTTGGTTTTGTTAGTGCATTGATCAGAATTGGTAGTTTTGACAGGGACAAATTATTAATAACTGACTACATACAATATCTAGTCATAATGTTTACAAGGTATAAAAAGGATCCTTCTTAGTAAGGCAAAGTATTTAGATTAGGGATTAAATGTGGTATAACTCAATCAGTGATATTATCTTTCTATATATCTTTCAACATTGAGCATTTTTATTTGTTCAGATCGCTTTCTTGACTTATCTAATCAGACAAATTGCTAAAGTTACTATTTATTCCAGAAAAGTAGAACATTGAAACTTGAATAAAAATAGAATTACTAATTCGCTATTTAGTAGTATGGGTTTTCGCATTACTTTTTTTTTTAAACTGTCACTGTATTGTTTAAAATGTAAATGTAAATGTGATCATAAGGTTTTATTTTTGGAATATATCTACAAAAAAAGAATTATGTAGATATTTTCAATCTCTAAAATAACTTTGTAAAATAGAGAAATAATTCATTTCATAATGAATGTTGATTTCTGAGTTCATTCAAATGTGTAAACCAAAGTACATTGTATTGATAAGCACATTATTGAACATAAAGTCAAAGATTTTATCAGTTGTACAAGGTTTTATGATTGGATAACTTATTAAGCTGTAAATAATTCAGTATTCATGTATAGATCACTAGATAGTTAGTTATTCATCTTATTCATAAATTTATGAGACTAATTAAAGACACTGACTGTACCTGTGTCATATTTAATAGAATGCTGAAGTGTATTCTGTTTTACACTAGTTTAGTATACAATGTCATATGGGCTACTTGTAATCTATTATCAAAATTTTTATTTCATTGTTTAACCTTGATTATTAATTTAAATTATCATATGCTAATACATTGATAAATAAAAAGTCTTTGACAATGTAAAAAATATTGTTTGAGTTACATTTTGAAATCAAGAACCGATCAATGTTAGACCACCATTAAAAACTTGGAAGCACTGGATAGCCGTTTTGTCCTGGAATGGGACTCAAGACCGAAGGTCCTGGATTCGAAGCCTGTTGGTGAGTCCCATAATAGGACGAAACGGACGTTCACTGCTCCCAGGTTTCTAATGGTGGTCTAACATTGACCGACTCATGATTCCAAAATAAAAAAACATTACTGGGCATGTTACACAATTCTGTTAATCTTGTGATTATATTAGGACAGTTTTAAATAGATGTGTATAATTGTCTCTACTTAGTTTTAGGTCGATTGAATCACCGTAACACATTAATTGAATAACAAAATGAATAAAATCTAACTTCACTATAATAATTTAATATGTTCCGATTTCATCGTCATCAATTAATTAGAGAGCCAGTTGTTTCCCATTCACAAGTGAATAGTTAAAAGATGGATTGATGAAGTTTTTTGACTTCCTTTCGAGAATTAATAAAACTAGAAATTTTTAGGAACTTTCAATTCTGTACAATAAAATTAAGAGGATTTTATACAATTTTTTATTATAGTATTATGGAGTGAAATCATGAATAAACCATTATTAGACCACCATTAGGAACCTGGAAGTACTGGACGGCCGTTTCTTCCTGATACGGGACTCATCAGTAGTACGCATCCACGACTCCTGCTACTGGTGGGTTTCGCCGATACCAGGACGAAAAGTCCATCCAGTGCCTCCAGGTTTCTAATGATGGTTTGACAATGATTCATCTTCGATGTTCCACTTCATTATTCTGTTACTTATGAGTTATTTTTAAACTGAATCGAATAAGTCAAACTATTAGGAAACTCTTTAAATAGAATCATTATTCTTAAGTATAAAGTTTATATACAGAGTTATGATTAATTATTATTAGTCAATCATATTTTGATAAACGTAATGATTGTGTACTTAAGAAAACTTTAAATATTCTCATCAATCATTTTTCATGTCACATGTTCCAAAATAAGTGATTTGATTGAAAATCGTTGAGTGCCTATTTCGATAACAACCTTAATATTTACTACAAATTATAGTTGTTACTTTAAATTAAGAAAATTTCATTTTGACAGAAAATAATTTCTATTTAAGAGTTCAAAATGTATCATGTCATATTCTATTGTATTTTACATTATGGACAACTTACATTTCAATTAATTAATCCTGAAAAACTACGAAATATATTAAATGTAGTTAGTTTTGATTTAAAAAGCAAACAAAAACGTTGAGCTTGCTTCTGATTGGTTATTAAGGAGTTATGCTTTTCATTGGCTGAATATCAGGAAGTTAAAATTTTTGCACTTATTATTATTAATGAATCATTTAAAATGAATAGCGAATTCTTTTCATACTTAAATGAATACATTTCTGAAGGTGAAACAGATCAAAATAACTAGTAAACTGAAAGCAAGAAAGTTCAGTATCAATTTTCAGCATGAAAAGCTAACATTGTCACTTTACAGTCATCACTATTCATAACCCATTTCTATACAGTGAGTAAATTAGAGGTAAACTAAAAATGATGTTAAAATACTGGGGAAGTCTGAAAGGTGGAAAGAAAGCTATTGTGTCGTTTATGAAAAATTAAAGGCACTTCAGCGAATAAAATAATTGATATCATCTAAAATAAAACTTTCTTAAATGAATTTGCATGAATTCTTCTCCAGAGATGAAATGAGTCATTTTTTATTCTAAGACCGACAGGGATCTCATAACATCGAAGGGAATCAATGGACATCTGAGAATTTTCGTTAAGCTTGATCTAGCAATTGTCAGAATCACTCTTTTAGAAAGATGTATACATCTAAGACTATGTTGGATATTGTTGGAAAGAAACTTCTTTTCTATGAATTGTTTTACTTGACAAATCAATAAATTTAAATAATTTAAGAACTACATTTGATGGTTATTTTCATTACAAATTAACGACAACTCAAAAACCTTTAAAAAATTGTGAGTTTTGAAAAAAGATTTTGTTTTAATCAGGAACGACTTATCAATCGGTCCTTAATACTTCACACACAATCAAACTATTGACTTTTTGTTCTTCTGAGTTTACATTATCTCCAAGGAACCAATATGTAATCACTTTTTCTGACGAAAATCAAATGTCTTCAGTCAGTTTCACACAATGTTCAGTGTGTGAATTATTGAAACCATCCAAACAAGAGACAAGTAGGTACCTTCTGCTTTAGTTTTTTCAGTGGGATATTCTGAATTTTAATGCTGACAGTACCATACTTCTATACGAATATTCAGTGGGTATGCCTTGAAGGAGTTTTGTTCTATGTTATATATATTTTGTCTAATCCTAAAGCTTTCACTGCCTTTCATGGCAACATCATCCGAATACATTTCAACAAGAAGTGATGTATAAGGATTTCTCCACATCTGACTCTCTGGTTTGATTATTTTCATCTCTGACCTGGGGGCAATTCACACTTTTTCTGATTGGTTGGTAGATTGTGTCAATACTTATATATATATATATATATATATATATATATATATATATATATATATATATATATCTCACTTTTAGAGTACTATATCTTCAAGAGTACTCTAAATACACATAAGTTTTTCTAAACTATGTGGCTCATTTACAAAGTATCAAGGAGCTAATGTATACCAACAGAGATTTCGATGCTCATAGCACTCTTCCGATGGATGTGAACATGTCTAACGCAAGTAAATTTACTGTTTGAAAACAAATCACATAAATTTTCCTTGAATATTTATCCAATTCTATTCTGTTTTTTAATACCCGGAGACAACTTCCACCACTTTTACTCTTGGGTTTGATATGAAGTGCTTCTTAAACCTTAACTTTTAGTAATCACTTTCCCAAAACATGAATTAATTAGCAATAACAAACGCTAATAACTCATTCTGGAGCCTTTCTAGGGTTACTGTCGGTCCTGAGCCTGGAGAATGGAGGAAGATTGGGCATGGGGTTAGCTACTTCATCCCGTAAAACGTCAGCTGGCTAAATAAATGATAAGCAGACAATAATTTCAACCATTTTAATTCTGCCCTGGCAGTCGGAAGTTCTTTACTTAAATCTGTCATGAGGCCTCATAGTGAAAGAAGAGTTTCTTCAGAAGTCATGAAACCGATTTTACTCCTGACAATCCGAGTAACCATCAATAAAGGTACATGGAATGTTTGAAAAATGTGGGAGACTGGAAGACTATTCCAAATTGCTGCAGAGATGAAAAGATACAATCTGGAGGTGCTTGCAAACTGTCAAACACATTGGTCACAGGTTGGAAAACTAAGACCAGCTTGAGTAGAGCTGCTGTTATACTCCGGTCATGAAGAAGAAAATGTCCCCCACATACCAGGAGTTTTACTGATGCTGTCCAAAGAAGCACAGAAAGCACTGATAAGATGGGAATCTCATCAAAACCTCCTTCAAAACAAAGAAAGAAGGCACTGCGATGAGCATCATTCAATGCTATAACCTTACCTTTGATTACGATGAAGACGTCAAAGACCGATTCTAGGCGAGACTGCAGTCAATCGTTAAGAAATGCTCAACAAAGTACTAAGGAATTCTGGTGGGAGACCTAAATGCCAAGGTTGGAATGGATTACAGTGGGTATGAAGGCATCATGGGAAGACATGGATTAGGGGAAAATGATTGAAGACGGAGAGAGTTGTACGAACCTATAT